TATCATAGACATCACATGCCCACGCTCTGCGCATGCGCAGATTTCCTGTGCGCACAACAGAGCTTGCTGGCTTTCCAGTTTCTTGCCTGCAGTCAGCTTTCAAATTCTGACCCACCCTCCTCATCCCATTTCTTACTCTTACACTCCACTCCATATATTTTGAAACACACGGATGCGGGCACTCCTCCGTGACTGGCCTCTCGCGCACTACTATTAAACTCGCATGGGTCATAAACCGCTCCTCCTCAACGCAGGCCGACCCACCAACTCGCATGGGTCACAAACCGCTCCTGCTCAGCGCAGGCCGACCCACTTGGTCATATACAGCTCCTGCCCTCGGTAGGCCGACCACACGATTCATTAACGCGCACTCAATAGATGACTTGCACAAAGATTGTCTGGGTTCGAGACGGGGCAAGTGGACCTTCTGACTCTGACTTCCCCACCTTTTGAGTTCGTGACTTTCGAAGTTTCGCTTTTTGCCTGACGAACACTGAGCTAGTTTTTTTGGCTAGAGAGTAGAGTTGTTTTGATTCGGCTTGTATCGTCATGCTGAAGCGCTGCTGCGCTCCTGAATGCACTAGCAGACGAGAGATGGAACTGAGGCTCCCATTCCATACGTTCCTTTCCGAGCCGGCCGGCCGGGAGGCAGAAAATTGAGGGAATATTATTTTAGTATCATTCGTGTAGGCTGCAACAAGCACGTCGTGGTCCTGAAGTGTGACTACTTTCCCGCAGTGGAAGCGAAGTCAAGCACAACGAAAGTTTGTGAACGTCTGAGAAAGAACTCGATTCCCTTTGATTCGGCTGCACTAGCTCCAGAGCGACCCTCTCCTAGGACAGACTGCGGAGAGGCCAGGAACCTGCCGAGTCACGAGTGGAAGCCCAAACCACGAAAATGAAGGGTGGAAGGACTGAGTGTGAGAGCCAGATGGCCTTTAGTAGTACTTCAAGTAGTATCTGAGTTGAAGGAGAGAACAAGTGTGCTGGAGAAACGCTGCGAAGTCCTCAGACCTGATGTGTACTAGCTACTGTTGAAGTCTCACTTGTTCCGATATGAACACTTCATCAGCCCTGACTCTGAGCAGCTGTATCTAGACTTGGACTTAGGCCAGAGACATAGCATTGTAAACCTTACTGAAGCCATATGTATCCAATGCCTGGCTCTAGTGAGAAAGCAGTTTGGCGCAGGCTCGCAAACTATGATTGAATCAGGGAGTGGTGGAAAGTCACATTATACCTCTCCATGATTAGCTGGTAATGAGAACGAGATGCGCCGGCTGGGTCTCATGGGAAAGTAACTTGCATACCTGTTTAGTTTCAAGGAGGCAACGGTACCCCATGTACTGAAGACATGATTGAACTACATTTTATCTCCTCCTGGGAGAATGTGGAACAAATAATGCCAGAGTGTGTCTGATACACATCACAGTGTGCTGAGTATGTTCATTATTGTGGACGTAACAGAACTGCGCTGTGAGGTACCTTCTGTGTTAGACCTACAGTTGAGCCACTACTCTTCTTACAAATTCCATACAACGGTGAAAGGATTTGTTGGAGCATCATCAAACAGTGCATTCACCTTCATCATACACTGGCTCCGCTGCCTACAGTAATTCACATTTTGTCGGGGCGCGCTGGGACGATACGGAAGGAGCGACGGGAACCATTGGAGTGCTCATGATGCTGGTTAGCGGAGACGGATGTGAGTGTCAGGAACGGGAACGCAACCGCACTACTGTACAGGTCAGGAAGCGATGGAAGAGTTGAATCTGTTCAACCTTCCATGCCGTGTACAATGACACAAGCGTAAAAATGGCTACATTTCGAATGTGAACTGGCGATGGCATTGTGTGGCGACGAACACAACTGCAACTGTTCAAATTTCAGCATTTCGAACATTATGCTTCCCATGATAACTCACCGAATGGCTCACATGACAGAGTTGGACATTACCAGGCTAGGATTATCATTTGCTGTATCTATGGATAGTCCTTGAGTTTTCAGATGAAGTGCTTTATCTTTTACCTGTCGTTCCTTTAGTATGGCACAATGTCCATGGCTGCTTCCTTGTCTTCATAACAGACTGGTATAATCAGCATGATTCTGCTTTATTTGAGAAGAAATAAAACTTTCCTTTCGGAAAGGAAGCCCAGAAACGTCAACCGCCATGGACTGTGCTTTATGACTCTCGTCCATCGACGTTAACCGTCGCAATAACTGCTGCATGTATGTTGTGCTGTGCGAACCGTACAAGATTTTACAGCTCACCCACGCCTTCCCAACAGGCTCCTATACCCCGTACTGTTAGCGTTACATTGAATATGAACTAGGCTAGCACAGTTATCCTTCGTTCTTTTGATGGCGACGGGTAGCATGGAACTTGACGTGTTCTTGGGATCCTCGTGCAGCACTTGCTGTTCCCGGATGCCATATTATTGGGTGCATCGAGGTTGCTTCTATGCTCCTTGTTGTTTAGAAAGACAATTTTTTTATAACTATTTCACCGAAGAATAAGGCAAGAGTATTTTGGGTTGGTTTGGACACCTGGCTTCTCTTCACATAATATACAGTCATGTACTTCCACTAAATCTACAAGTGCTCATGCATGACTCATGAGCTGCTGAAGACAGTGACGGTACTGATCATGTACATGTACATGCCGTGCACCGTTCATTCATGCTGACAAAAAAAGTACACTACAGACGGTGTAGGGTGCCCGCAGTGTAGCCTGGGTGCACAGGGTGCACTTGCCCCGTCTCACTCGCGGCTCGGATCTTTGTGCAAGTCATCTATTGAGGCCAGCTACTCTGCCCGACATTCCCATTCTTCCCAACTCACTCTCTTGTCCTTTGGTGTGTCGCGTCCTGCACGCGTGTGTGTCTACTCTATACTCTAGCATGGGGAGTAGAATGTTAATTAAAATTAATTATTATAGATTTCTGAATTTGAAGGAAATCCATATTATGGAAAACCCATGGCTGATGGCATATACGGATTTCCTTCAAATTAGGCATGTGTATTCCTTTGTGGGGTTAGAAAGTACCTACCAAGTTTCATGTTTCTACTGCCACCAGAACATACTTTTCCAGGCGTTTTTGATGTACAGGGATTAACTCAGACTTCTTTGGGTGAAGGGAGTTGAAATAGGAAAGGTCTGAAGAAAAAATTGACTGGAACCACTAAGACTTGAACCGGGATGGCTAACCTGCGCGGCGGAGCTCTGCCACAAAGCTGTGCTGTAGTCATCATCCGAGCAACGGCCAGAAGTTAACATTTTCTTCAGGCTTCGAAACTCATACTTCCTTTGAATTGGCACTGGCTGGTGGATGTTTTCGTTGTTTTTCTACCCCAAAAAGGTAGATTCTTCTTTCCTCTACAGGATCTTCCAGGTTCGAGGTTGGTAGAAATTGGTAGAAGTTGGTACGGTATTTCTGTATTATTTTGTGTGACCATAAGATCTGTGAAAAGAATTCGGGTGGACACACCCATTCCCATAGCGCTGCACATCACATCCGAACCAGTTCCGTTATATTTACAACGTTTCGGCACTTGGCCATCGTCAGGTAATAACAATGAATACAGTGGAAGCCACACACGAGCAGTATATACGCAGAGTGTAGCGCCAAAAAAGATGCGAATTATGTCACCTAGTATGCAGAAGGGGGGGGGGGCAGAGAGAGAGAGAAAAGGCGCAACTAGCACATCACGGAGAAGAAGCATCAGAAGGTAGCGCGCATGCTTCTTCTCCGTGATGTGCTAGTTGCGCCTTTTCTCTCTCTCTGCCCCCCCCCTTCTGCATACTAGGTGACATACCGTATTATCTCTAATATAAGCACGGTCCTTTATTTTTTCAATGTACCTCCGCCCCGTGCTATTAATGGAGACGTTCCTTTATTGGAGACTGTTCCATTATTATTTCAACCTCATTTCAGAGGTATGTTGCCATGCCAAATTTATATGTCAGACACACACATTTCAGGGTTTTTTCGCCGGTACAGATAATGAATTTACACAGTGTGCTTATAATGGAGACTGAGCACTTTATTTTTTGAATGCCGCCCCAAGGTGTTCTATTATTGGAGACGTGCTATTATTGGAGACTGTGCTTATATTAGAGATAATACGGTAATTCGCATCTTTTTTTGGCGCTACACTCTGCGTATATACTGCTCTTGTGTGGCTTCCACGGTATTCATTGTTATTACCTGACGATGGCCAAGTGCCGAAACGTTGTAAAAAATAACGGAACTGGTTCGGATGTGATGTGCAGCGCTATGGGAATGGGTGTGTCCACCCGAATTCTTTTCACAGATGAAGCTGCAGGAAGCCTCAGCCCTTCTTCATAAGATCTGATTTACACAAAATATCGTACATCGCGCTGTAAATAAATGACCTTGACATCGATGGTTCTACCGAAATAGGTAGACCAGTGTTCGTAACCTGCTATCAAGAGTTATACATGACCAAGAGTGTGCAACTTGGCGCTCCCCCAACACACAGCGGAATTTTTTATGACATCAAATTTAGCGGCCATTTGACTCACTCATCATCGGCATAGCCAGAGATAAGAGTACAAATGATTTGTACATCCCAGCTGCGGTAGTCAAAGGAGTACAACGGGAAGCAGATCCATATTTCCTGAACCCAATGAACTGACACTGTATGAACAAGACGAGTGTGGGAAAGCATGCGCACTTGGTCATGCTTCTGCCAAAAATCACGATTCGCGTTATACCCAGATAGACTGAGCTCTCCGCATTCGTAGGAACGCCACCACTCTCACCTTCTGCAAAACAAATTCCGGGTCGCGTGAGACTCGGCAAAGAATGGCGCAATAAAAAAATCCGCTGAGGGAGAACCCATCGCAACTCGAGATAGGAAGAGTTGCAGCTTCAGGCATCATGCAGCTACAATCCGGTCACAATTCGAACTGCGGAAAAGAGATCAAGAGATCAGTGTATCCAGCAAAGGATCAGTAGAAGAATGAGAGAACTTACCGGTGTAGCATCATTCAATGATGAGATCATCAGGAAGTACTGTCCCGGGATAGTGGTGGTATCCAGCAAAGTGTCATCAACACGTAAAACTTCACTTGGATCAGATCGCTGTATGGGCATATGGGCATGGTAAGACAGAGACGATTGCTTGGCTGTATGGGCATGGTAAGACAGAGACGATTGCTTGGACTGTGCTCATGTACACTTATTTGCACACCAACTTTCGATAGAAAAAGAACTGAACAACGAAATTACTTTTGTTGCAATCACCGTAGTGCCACACAGTATTGTACGGCGCCTGCGTACCACGTCGTACAATGAACACACGCATGTCTGACTGTCGAGGCGTATTTCCCGTAATCCGAAACACTCGACGTTCCCAATCTTGCGCAAGCTCTGAATCATCCGATTTTGTTAGCCTTTTTCGTTGTTGCCCCAGGCTGATCCGTGGAACGCTATGAAACTTTGCCATGCGCAACCTCTCCAATAACCCAGCCAGATTTCCTCAACCTCGCATGCACACACTAGCATCACATGTCTGACAGTAACTTAGATAAAAAAAAGTGTCTCATCTTATTGCAATAATCATCTCTACTCCCCCCCCCCTCCCTGTTTTCTCTACGCTCATACCTTGTTTGGCTTGTACAGGAAAAGGAAACACTCCTTGAGGAAGCAATAAAAGACCTTGACCTCTTCACCACCACGCTTATCATTATCTGCAAACAACCAGTTCAAAGCACACCCGCCACACACAATAATGTGACCAGTGTCTGCTCCAGCGCCGGGTGAGCCGGGTAATCCACCCGGTTGGGCGGCGCTTGGACCCGGTTGAAAATATAGTACCGGGTCACCTGTGACCCGGTTGGTACTTTACACTTTCGAACTTTGAAAGGACTGACTACATGGCTTGTATGTGTCAGATACTGCTTCTTCTTTCGTAATTTAAACTAATTTTCTAATTCTTGTCCTTTTTTTCTAAATGCGGCTTATCCATTCGCTGTTATAACATTGGGCCTAGTTCCCGTTTATTGCCCGAATTAAAATAAACCAACCAACCAGTTAAAGCATGTGCCTCGGCTGGTGAGACAGCGCCAGGTACATGTGTACCCGGCTCCGACCCGGTTGAAATGGTTGCGCCAGGTACACGTGTACCCGGCTGTCCTACAATCCTAGAGCAGACACTGGTGACATGCACACAGTATCACAATACATGTACACTCGGACGTCTCTTATCCGGGCACCTTGGGACCGGGCATTGCCCGTATCTCAGATTTGCCCGTATTTCAGGGTAACTCATCTACCATGTATCATATCATTTTTTGAAGAAGTTTATTTGGCACGTAATGCACATGTTCAGGTTAAAGAAAGAATCCATTGATAAGAATGTGTGGATTTCACAGGTTGGCAGTGACAAATAAGCACTTGCGCATACGAAAAAAGCTCAAACCCCCCAAATTCAAGGCATTTTTGCCATAGGAACTCAAGCTGAAGGTGCCCGGTAGAGATAGGTGCCCGTATTTGAGGCGTCCGGATAAGAAGCGTTTGAGTGTAATGTGACATGCACACGATTGGCACAGATTAAGCAGAATCATGCGGCATATGTGGCGCTGCATTTGCGTTTCGTTCATCGTGTGTTTATATAGCCTTCACGCATCAATGCGAATACCCCCCACCCCGGTTCAACTTTTCCAATGGGGCCTTCGATGGCAAACCTCATCCCATGCACTCATTCTGCCACCGTTGGAAATATTGCAAGTTTTGCGTAGCTAAAGTATGTTAACGCGGTGACGTAATGTTTTCACTGTATGCTGATGTCTATCACGCGCGTGTTCGCGCCAGCTCACAGATGCGCCGTTGTGCGCATGCACCGTTGTGCGCATGAGCAAACTCTCTCAGCAGCTCGCTTTGCATACGTACACCCTTCAGCAGCCTTCGTGCCTGGCTCTCTTTGTTAGTTGCATTGGCTCGCATGACTCTTGCTCCGTGTTTTCATTTATTTTATGGCTTCCTGCGCTGTGGTGAGCTCACCTCGTTGACGTTTGGCAACGTGGCCCTGGACCAACAATCATTTCGTATCACCATCACGCTGCTGCAATCAAAGACGGACCCGGACGGTAGGGGCACGGTAGTCCACGTGGGCGGCTGTACCGATGTCATCAGCTGCCCTGTTACGGCGATGGTGCGGTACCTGTCGGCAGTGTCGGCGGAGTCCCAATCTCCTAGAGATCAGCTGCTCGTCTACCACAATGGCCAGCCTCTGACACGAGCGGACGTCACGAGGGAGGTGCGGACCCTCCTTCCGCTTTATGGGATTACAGATCCGTCCAGTTATGCCAGCCACTCATTCCGGATCGGAGCAGCCACGTCTGCAGCTATCGCAGGCGTACCAGAGCACGTGATCCGCCATATGGGGCGATGGCGCAGCGATGCCGTGCTGCGCTATATCCGTGTTGAGCCATCCGAGGTGCGGCTAGTATCAGAGAAGCTAGCCACAGTGAGTGACTGACCAGTAGCGCTGCACCTTGACGAATGTCTCCTCCGGTATACATACCAACTCTCAGTACCGCTATCGGTACCTAGATTTCTTGACTGCTAGCAGCTCCTGCTATACTCCTCGTTCAATGCTCGCGTTATTTCTGAGCACTGACTTATTTGGTTGGCCCACCAGGGTAACTAGCTTGGGCACTGAACTCTCAGTAGCTGGCAGCATTCTCTCTACTCTCCCGAATCACTCTATTCGGTCACTGCCCTTGGCAGGTCAGCCGCCATTTCGGTCTCACTCTCGGTCCCCGCCTCTGTCGGGTCGGCCGCCTCCATGGTTACACACTGCCAGCTCCTTCGCCCAGTTACCCTGTGGTGCCAACCAACTACTGCTGTGTCTGTGTGTGGGTCGTGTATGCCTCCACGTACGGAGCATGCGTTAACTCCACAAAAAAGTGCTCCTGGCTGCAGCGCTGGTGAGCAAGGTACTAGTACTCGTTACAATTCGTGCACTCGCTTTGTAAGCATTCCTACACTGAATTCGTGATCGCTTTGTAAGCATTACTACACTGAATTCGTGATCGCTTTGTAAGCATTACTACACTGAATTCGTGATCGCTTTGTAAGCATTCCTACACTGAATTCGTGATCGCTTTGTAAGCATTTCAAGGAAAGGAATACTGTAGATCAGGATTTTTTTGATGGTCCACAGGCATGGATCAGAGTTGTTGCCCACTTGGGGGGGGGGGGGGTATGTCTCTTTGTGTAACGAGAACACCTGATGACATAATGCTAGTTTACGCAGTTAGAGTTCTGCATATTACCGTGAGTACTGCCGTAACTTACACACTCGGTTCAACAATCCTGACTTTGATCGAGTTCCAGGTTGCTTGGACAGTGAATCACTACTCAGATCCTACGCAGAACAAAGCAACAAAAATGGAGCGGGGCAAGTCCTTACAGCACTGTAACCTGCATTCAGTTGAGCGTGTGTGTGTGTGGGGGGGGGGGGGAGATGCACACTCAGCATGTGTACTGTAGTCAGGACTCTTGCTGCTGTAAGATCTAGTATCGTGCATCGTGTACAGCACATGTAGGTCTATAATTATGCAGAGTGCTCAGTTTGAGAAAATCCCCAGCACACACGGCATGCACTGGGGCAACACCTCAGTGAAGTACAAGCCGTATTACAACTTACAAGACTGCACTTAGTAGTCGTAATGTACCTTGTAAATGGCAGCTGCCAACGACTTGGCATTCTGGTGGCATGCAAACAGGATCTTCAAGTGTGACACATGAACTGCTTGAAGCTCATACTGCACAGAATCAGCAAACAACGAAAGAGATCAGCTCACTTTAGACCCGGCAAGTTCAACATGCATATGAACAGTGTCATTGAGACACAGAGGTCTCATAACGTTAGAAGAAGATTTCCAATGTATTCGAGTTTGGCCGAGTGCATGGCAACTCACCACCGCCTGCGTGTGTTGCACCATCTCTTCGGTCTTTTCCATTGCTGTTTGTAGTTTCTTTCCCGAGTGAGGAATATAGGAACAAACAAAAGCACAACAGCCCGCCGAACAAACAAACAAGACAAGACAGGAAACGACAGGACGGGACAGGAAAGGACGGGACAGGAAAGGACAGGGAAGGACGGGACAGGAAAGGACGGGACAGGACAGGACGATCAAAGGCACATCATAACCTCATTAGAGAACACTGTTAAAAACTGGAAGTCATCGCCAAAAATCACTGAAGAGTGCATGAAAATGACTGTATGCAGCGTCGGTATGGATGTTTGCAATGGCGAAATTCCTGGATCACTTATGACTTTCGGAGCTACACAACGGGAATATGCATGGTATTTCATACAATGGACTGGCTGGAGCTGTGCAGCAGGAGACCTGCTTGAATTGTTCTTCAACACACGGCAACACTAAAATGATGTAATTGGGGAATTTCCCTGAGACAATGATCCACTTTTAAGGCTGCACACTTTGGTATTCATGTACACTTACCAACAGGAATGTCCACAAAATCATTGGACTAGCAATAATGCTAGTCCATTTGTATATATGTCAAAGCCAAACCGGGAAGACTGCAGTATGTCAAAGCCCTCGGATGACTGCATGGTCAAACTTACTTCTTTCTCCTTGACAGCCACATCCAATTGCGTCTGCAAAGAGTCAATTTTCTCTTGGAGAGCACGTTGGCTGTTCTGTACAGAAGATGCACATTAGAACGCAGGCAGAATTTAGCAGAGGCTGTTTGCAAGTGACAAAATCCAGGATACTGGGCTGACAAGCGCATCTACGAGAAAATCAATGCCCTGGGATCAATGCCCTGGGATCAATGCCCTGGGATCAATGCCCTGGGATCAATGCCCTGGGATCAATGCCCTGGGATCAATGCCCTGGGATCAATGCCCTGGGATCAATGCCCTGGGATCAATGCCCTGGGATCAATGCCCTGGGATCAATGCCCTGGGATCAATGCCCTGGGATGTATTGCTCCAAATTTTATTTGAGAGAGAGTTACGGGCAGCACTGTATTGACCAGCTGCTATCTCGATAAAAGAGATTATGGGTATCAAAGTTATGTACAACGTTGTTAGCTTCATCTACAGACAGATCACGGAGGAATGAGGTTGATTACTCACGTCACCGCCTTGTCGCAAACGATTTCTTTCTTGAACAACGAGTGCGAATTGCGACTGGACTACCTTGTTATCTTCAAGCATTTGTCTGTGACATGAGAGAAACACACCACATCATCAATGTCAGTGTCTTAAAATTGTAACAAGTCCTCAGTTCAATGGCAGAGATGCATGCAGTATCCGTTAATGTCAGTAGACACCTCAGTTCAATGGCAGGGATGCATGCAGTATCAATATCCACAGCTCACACTTCAATGGCAGAAATATAGGCAGCATCTGTCAATATCAGTAGACTGCATCCCGAGCTAATCAGCGGCTGAAGAATAAAGGCATGCATGGGTACACAGGGCAAAAAGTGAATGCATTTTTAAGAGGCAAACTCACTGTCATCTGTGTGTCACCTCAGAGTGACACAGTACTGTGACTGCACACCTGTGTGTTGGTGTGTGTGTGTGGGGGGGGGGGGGGGGGTGGCATGCGTGTGCATAACGGTATAGCCCATAATGGCTCTAACAAGTAACCAGCAGAAAAAATCAGATTCACTGGATTACTTGATAGCAGCCTCTGCCTCATGTAGCTGTGTTTCTGTCCTTCTATGGCGCTCCTCTGTCCCCAACAATTGACGCTGTACTGCCGGTAAGTGCTCCGTAGTTACTCTCATTGCTTCTGTCTTGCAAGTTAACAATGCCTAAGCACAGTCAAGAGAAATCCAGGCACATACACACTTGGGTAAGAGCCATGTCGCTAATAACACAATCATAATATTATTGTTTGGTGATCCTTTGTCATGCATAATAAGTTCACACGGCACTTCATACTAACTTGCTGCTAGCACTTTGGAAATGATACTTCCACTACAGGAGAAGTACATTGTAGATGAGGCGTTGATCAGTATAATCATGTACACGTTCTTGAAATGGATCAATCAGTTCAGTGACACATTGTCCATGTTTGAACATTTTGAAGTGCGTGTACATGACTGTACTTATTAGCTAGCACACGTTTGTGCTAGCTATGCTAGGTGCAGTGCATTCACATATTCATGATGTGTTGAATGCTGCACAGGTCCAACCACAACACTACCTACTTGGTAGTACACTGCACCTGCAGACAGCTAATACTAATAGTACATTGTACTTGTCAAGAGTATGCCACAGTAGCAGTATAAGCACAGTGAGTAGGAGTACTCAGTAGCCTGGGTAGGACCTTGTAAGTACTACATGTACACTAGTGCAATCGTGCAGGCGGTTTGATGGAACTAACCTGTCTCAGATCTGCACACTCTCTGCGTAATACATCAAGATTATTAGTCTGCTGTAAGCAGGTGGAACGGCTCATCTGTAACTCAGTCCTTAGTTCTTCCACCACTGAACTACTGCAAATGTAAAACAGCATACCATGTCAACAGCAGATCATGTTTGTGAGGCAGTTACCATGACAACAGCAGATCGTGTTTGTACGCGTTTGTAATGCAGTTACCATATCTGCATGCAATCATTCTTTCAAAAGCTATTTTATTCAGCCCCCCCCCCCCCCCCCGGCACGTCAAAAGACTGCCAAATAGAGATAAAGAGAGCCAACCATTTTTTTTGATGACTACTGATATTCTGCTCTACGTTACGGGAACGCAACGCGAAGAATCCCAGGAACACTCTTCATGTTCCCGCAACGTAAATAAAACCTGTTTTGCTCTACGTCCACGCAAAGAAATCACGTGGAATGTGCACTGGGATTTTCCTGTTCCAAATTTGGCAGTTCGGAGGCTCTTACTAATTCCAATGACACGCAGCAGATCCACACGCATTTTCTTTGCGGGCCCCACAAAGTAGAGAAGCTCATCTCCACCGTGGTAGAAATCTGTAGGCCACACTGCTGACTTACTTCATTCTCTCCGACTGCAGCTGGCTATCCAACATGTGCACTCTCTGTTCAAGCTGGTCCCTATCCATGCTCAGACGTCTCATAGCAGAGTCACTGGGCAGCTGGAGACCCGGCCGCGTGTTGAACACAAATGCTACAAATGCCATATTGACTGTTTTCACTCCCTGCATGATAGGACAAAGACCGGAAAACCTCCATCACATGCTGATCATGTAACACCTGATCATGTGATATAAACAAGATAACAATTAGGTGATGTCACGTGACATGTGATATGTTCGGAATTGCCCATCATGTGATAATACATGAAGGGCTTCTATTGTGACAAAAAATGCAAACACTCTGGTTTGGTCTTTATCGCGTTTTGAATTGGAGCCCTTCACATGCACTTGCGGATGCACAAAGCGCACCTGTACAATGTCCTGTGGTGAAAGAAGACCTTTGCAATTCAACTGAGCTGTTGCTATTCGCACAATGTTGTGTGCACGGGGAAGGGCATCCAAGTCTTCTAGCAATGTCAATGGACATCTGCACAAACACAGCAGAGCAGAGCAGTTAACAGCCGCACGGCCACTACATGAGTAAACCATCAGAAACCCACATTTAAGGCTGGTGGCTTCCATTCTAGAAAGGCAGACACCTAGCCAGCCTGTCAAGAGGGGCAGGGAGGGGGAGGGGGGGGGGACAAGTACATTAATTCCCAAGGCTATGCAAAAGATTTTACTTCAGTAGCGTCTGGCGCTAGCCAGGGTCCACACCGCCTTATTTTGCCAACGGTATGTACGTGTGTGTGTATAATATGTGGCATCGGGCTTTCATCACGTGACACACCATGCCTGACGCACATGTCCCGTACCGTACCGTGAAAGAAAGCTGGCTACATGTTCAAATAGTGCTTTCAACGGCGGTCCGGGACAATAACATCAACTTAGTAGACAGACCAGCCACTAAATGTAACGTCTTTTGCATAGCTCCAGGAATAAAAGCAATACACACACAGTCGTCCCTCTCTAATCCGGCACTTGTTTATCCGGAACCCTTGCCAACCGGCGCACTTTCTGACGAAACCGATTTTTTTCGTTCAATTCCTACATCTTAATCCGGCATTTGAATTCCGCCTCCGGCAGTGACTTTTTGAAACGAATCGCTCAAACTGCACGTAGTTTGATTTCATAATCCGGCAGTCGTAAATCGCGTACCATACAGGTACACTCCTTGCCAGGCCAGGCTACTCTTCAGAGTTCAGTTCAGTTGACAACTGTACTCAACCTCGCGCGGGAGAGTTCAGTTCGGTTGGTTGTTAGGACTTTTCCGAACCCTAACTCAATTTATACAAAGAGAAAGACCAAGGAACTACAAGTAAGTTACGCTATACTGTCCACCAAGAGTACATGAAAACCGGTTTTCATGTACTCTTGTGTCCACTAACACCACCAGTTACTAAACAATCAGCTCATGCAATAACATTGCACGACACTGACCGACTCTACTGACGTTCTACAACTAACTACAACGTTCGACCTGCATGATGTCGACTGCTTGCGTGGCCTTCTCAAGAGGGGCAATGTTGTCCAGGAGACAACGGCTAAGCAGTCAACCATACTTTCTTATTTTAGCAAGGAGTAGTGTCCTGCCAATTTTCAGGTGTGTGTGTGTGTGTGCAAGAGTACATGTGAACATGTTCTCTGTTTTACTTTATCACTTTATCACTGTGTATATTCCTGGAGAACAGTTGAGAATATAAAGCCGTGCACCAAATACTTGGGTCGACACGGAAAAACCCTGCGTTTTGACATATGATACATGCATGCAATTGGGTAGGGCCGGGTCAGAGGGCAGGATTTCTTAATCCAGCACCCTCGTTAATCCAGCAGAAAACGCCGTAGCAAAAGGTGCCGGATTAGAGAGGGACGACTGTACCATTATTTTTACTGTCAGGCCCATCATTCAATAAGCTCCTTACTGCTGTCCCAGAAGTTGATTCAGAAGGTGAATGTACACGTGGCCATCCTGAACAAAAGGACAAAGGGCCAAAAGAATATTGTGTTTCAACCAGCAATGCCCACAGCAATGCCCCGGGACAGCAATGCCCACAGCAATGCCCACAGCAATGCCCACACTCTGAATACAGTCATTGTATTGTCATTCTCATTGCCGCCGGTACCGTGATATAGATCAGATTGCAAAACGTGGACACGTCAGTACACATTGCGCAATCTGATCTATATGTACATGCAGTATATGATAGCCAACACGGCTAACATATCAGCCAATGAATCCGTCAGAACCCCGCACACATCATTTGAAGTTCAGAAAACAAACTAGGCAAAAGAGGTATTCTAACAAGGCACATGACCGTTGTTCAGGCAATAGCCGATAGCCAATAACCGGCTTTCCCACCGCGGGGTCCTGATTAGCGCATCATTCCCAAAATTAATAGTGTCATTAGGGGAAATGCTGCGCTTGGAAGGTCGACAGTTTGATCTCTTGACCTTAGATGGCTAAAACTCGCCTAAGAAATCAAATCAAGCATGACTTTTCAAGGTCGATAACGATAACTCAGATCTTGCCCTTAAACGCATCTCTAAGGCTCATCACATGAATGTATGCCATGCCACAGCTCCTCAGCAGCCTGGAATTAGTGGACATCATACAGCAAGTGTATGTCTATGGGTAGAGTGAGTACCAGTCCATTCAAGTACCAGTACTGGCCTATATGATTGACTAAGCTTGACTCAGACAGTACAACCTGTGCACTGCACTGCTCAGCGGCCTGGCTATTAGATCTGATGCAGTGTCAGACTCACGTGGCACTGCGGTATCATTGCAGACACTGATAGCAGCTCACACACGAACACACCCACCACCACCACCACCATGCAGCACAGACCACACACAGTCACATGATGGTCGTAGTACAGTCAAACCTCGTTAGGACGAACTTCAAGGGACTGAACAAATTTGTTGGTCTTATCGGGAGTTCTTCTTATCCAGATCTGACAAAAAAATCGATATGCACATCATATGGACTGTATTTATGTGAAGATGCATACTGTTGTACATGGGAAGCATCTTATTCTTAGCATAAGCCAGAAACAGGTAAGTACAATGGCAATATGCAATGAATCATGACTGTGCTGAAAGTTCGTACAACGCACTGATTATTTGTTCAAAACATGCTTGAAAGCAATTTGCACTGCACTGTACGTGCATACGATATGGCTTCGACAATTGAAAAAAAAGAAGAAAAAAAGGCAGCCAGCGCACCCTCGTGGACCGAAAGTTCGTACTACATGTACATGACCACACTGATTTTGTTCAAATCACACTTGAAAATCGTTCGTCTTTGCGAAAGTTCGCTGTACAGAAGTTCGTCGTAAACGAATAATTTTGACTTGAATTGATGCCTGGCCAACCATAGGATTGGCCCGAGTTCGTACTAATGGAAAGTTCGCCTTATCAGTGTTTGTCCTAACGAGGTTTGACTGTAGTTGTAATACTAGTACTTACTGCTACATCACTTGAGAAGTTCTGTGCTTCCCTTACTAATCCAGCATTACGTAAGTGATAGTTGATCCAGCGTAACAATATACCCTCAGCTGGTAGCTGCAAGCACAACATGCACACACGCACACACATACACGTACGCACACGTACAATGCACGTACAATGCATGTACGTACACGTACATGCATGTAATGAGTCATCCACTACAGTGCTGTCGGGCGCCGAAGAACGGCCAGGCTAGAATTTCACCAATTTTTAAGAATGGTGTAGGCTGGATTTTTGCAGATAAGAACGGAAACCGTAATATACGCTATAATGCACACTCAGACGTATAACTCCGCATACATGTACATGTAAGACTGTACTATCGAATAAGAACGAAACTGCTGTGTTCGCTAAAAATAAGAACTGGCAAGGCTAGAACCCTGACCCCCAGTTCTTCGGGGCGCCGACAGTACTGTATACATGTGAATCACTGTAGTTGTGAATCACTGTATTTGTAAGTCACTGTATTTGGCAAATGAACGAAAGGCAGCACTGGTGCCGCTAGCCTGCACTGAGCCATGCCAACGTGACTGGACCCCAGTCAGCAAACACAAAGTCCGAGTGCAGGTAAAGCAAGCCACTAACCACTCCATCACTTCAAGTCAAGTTCTACACCTTGCTACTACGCATGCATATTCAATGGTTCCTGAAATAGTGTCATCTGCCCCAATCAGAACCTGACCAACAATATTGCGCAGGGTCGTGAGTGCACTGCCCTAGGCCGGGAGTGGACTGCCCTGGACCGGGAGTGATAGAGTGGACTGCCCTAGACCGGGAGTGGTACGGGGACTGCCCTGGACCGGGAGTGGTAGGGTGGACTGCCCTGGACCGGGAGTGGTACGGTGCACTGCCCTGGGCCGGGAGTGTACTGCCCTGGATCGGGCGTGGTAGTGTGGACTGCCCTGGACTGGGAGTGGTACGGGGACTGCCCTGGACCGGGAGTGTACTGCCCTGGACCGGGAGTGTACTGCCCTGGACCGGGAGTGGACTGCCCTGGACCGGGAGTGGTACGGCGGACTGCCCTGGACCGGGAGTGGTACGGCGGACTGCCCTGGACCGGGAGTGGACTGCCCTGGACCGGGAGTGGACTGCCCTGGACCGGGAGTGATAGAGTGGACTGCATTGGACCGGGAGGGGTAGGGCGGACTGCGCTGGACCGGGAGTGGACTGCCCTGGACCGGGAATGGTATGGTGGACTACAGCACAAGAATCAGATGCACCATCCGGATCCTAAAGTAGTCTGGGCCATGACTAGACTAGCTGGACAGTACCCATTGTGCCAGCGGCCCTGCTGCCCCACATTGAACTCAAGAACCAGGGCACTACACTACAGTGGCACCAGGCGACCACCAGGCTTAGCCGTGCACATCGACGACGGCAGGCAACTGATAGCCATACAGGCTTAGCCGTGCACATACCCGGAGAAACTCGGACAGATCCTCATTGGGTGCCGCCAGTCGAATCAGCTCCGGGTGGTGTTTGACTGTTACTCGCTGGAAAAGACTGGCCTGCATGGCAACAAATGATATATTATTATACATGTATCAGTAGCAACTTACACAGTACAGCGACATGAGGTAATGCTATAGCACACATGAGGTAATACTATAGCACACATGAGGTAATACAATAGCACACATGAGGTAATACTATAGCACACATGAGGTAATACTATAGCACACATGAGGTAATACTATAGCACACATGAGGTAATACTATAGCACACATGAGGTAATACTATAGCACACATGAGGTAATACTATAGCACACATGAGGTAATGCTCTTGCACACATGAGGTAATGCTATAGCACACATGAGGTAATACTATAGCACACATGAGGTAATACTATAGCACACATGAGGTAATACTATAGCACACATGAGGTAATACTATAGCACACATGAGGTAATACTATAGCACACATGAGGTAATACTATAGCACACATGAGGTAATACTATAGCACACATGAGGTAATACTATAGCACACATGAGGTAATACTATAGCACACATGAGGTAATGCTCTTGCACACATGAGGTAATGCTATAGCACACATGAGGTAATACTATAGCACACATGAGGTAATACTATAGCACACGTGAGGTAATGCTCTTGCACACATGAGGTAATGCTATAGCACACATGAGGTAATACTATAGCACACATGAGGTAATACTATAGCACACGTGAGGTAATGCTCTTGCACACATGAGGTAATGCTATAGCACACATGAGGTAATGCTCTTGCACACATGAGGTAATGCTATTGCACACATGAAGTAATGCATGTGCACACAAACACACACACCTCATGGAATATGTTAGCTCATTTATCAGTCTTCTACTCAAATGTGTGGTGCTGATTTTCTGCACGAATAGCAACTTACTTTCACAATCTGCCAAAGCACAGCCAGTACAAGGTATTCCTAATGCAAGAGAAGGAAACAACCAAGCAAGACGTCATCAACAAAATATTATCTACTTGTATAAGTAGCAAAACAGAGAAGAAGAAAAACAATAGAAATTCCTAGCCCATCGTTAACTCCAAAGAAAGTTGACGGCTGGTAAATTGCACCACAGACCAGGGTGAATTCATGTCATTTTCTGTGTACTGTGGTACACAGACTGCATTGGGTGGTAGGTGTCATGATAGAGGAGAACAAGGAGCAGAAAAGAAGGAGGAACAGTTCACGGTATGACTAGGATGAGCAACACAAGGAGGGACACCAGCAGCTGGAATAAACCAGGGTGGAAGAGCAGGAAGTCTACTTCTCATCAATGGTGACAATCAGTTTGGCAGCGGCGGATCCAGGGATCTCTACAGGGGGTTGCAGTATAGTCAAAACTGAATAGATGATAGATGTATGGACACTCATATGGTTGCCAGCAGTACATTTAGACCGGGTTCCGCGGAACCCCTGGAACCCCTCCTGCATCCGCCCCTGTTTGGTGCCTTTTGCAGTGTATTGGAGTGGGTGAAATCATATGCTACATGCAAGGGTATAACACCAAAATTATTGGGAATTGGAACTTGACTGGCCAGAAAACGTGGAAGGTCACAGCACCCAGTCCGGCCGGCTCAGCCATGGCCGGACCTTATTCCGAAAAAGTTAGATGACCCACACAATTCGTGTAAAACAGGTTTTCCCGTCCGTAATGTTCATTTCTGTTCAAGCATCCCATTCGGCCGGACCCGGCACATGACCACATGACATCATCCCATTCGGCCGGACCCGGCACATGACCACATGACATCATCCCATTCGGCCGGACCCGGCACATGACTACATGAAATCCCAGTACTACAGCCATTGGTTGTGGAACTACAGTGCTACAGATGGCATGCAGCCCTGACCTCTATTCAGCTTATTCGTAACATGACCCCGCTATATGGAGAGATTACAGCAATGCAGGCGGCAGATTACTTACTCTCTTGTCATACAAATCCTCCGCACTAATGTTCTCGATCTTGCAGCCTATCGTTCTCGCTCCGTTGATGACAAGGTTTTGGTTACCGATAGCAGCTAGCTTTGAAGTTGCCGGTCGTTTCAACTGCGATAAATTCACCGCATTGGTCTTGACATGATTGAGAAGATAACTGGTGTCAAAACGGCACAGCCACCAGAAACACATCGTGTACTCAGTGACTGATGGATAGATTACGGTACGCCGGGATCGTTCAAGTCAGCACCCAGAAGACTACAGGGTATGACATTTTGATCTTATACCAACAGTCTACTTTATGCCGAGTACATGTACAAGCAAGTATAATACATGTGACTACGACTTTTAGCATGGCCTACGAGTATAATTTTATAGTAAATAATGAATGCTAAGACACTGGTCATGTTCCAAGTATACTTCTAGACAGTGCAAGTTGTCCTGAGTTCACATGTACCAGCAGAAGTATACTTCTAGACTGCAAGTTGTCCTGAGTTCACATGTACCAGCAGCAGAACCTGAGGGCACCACCAGGCTAAGTTACTAAACACAAGAAACACAAAAGTAGCACTGGAGACTCCGGAGGGAAGGGAGCTAGCTCTCTTTACTACATTAACATGGACTAGAAGTGAGGCAGGAAAGGCACACGTAACCAAGTCCAGCAAGACTGGATGGTCAAATCTGAACCTGGCACGATTTCTTCAAGAAGGCAATTCTCCCACTCCAACGGGTTGCTGACCAGGGTGACCCCTCCCATCTGGAGGCATCCCTGCTTGCTCTAAATAACCGTTTAGCATGTCTCATGTAGGATAAGTGTGACATGCAGAAAAGACCTGCAAGCTATACAGCAGGCCATTGAAAAGACTTGTAGCCCATGCCAATGTCAATGCATATCTTGAACCAAGCTTAGATGATGGCCACGGTATCACTCTTCATGTACTCAGAGTGAGCACAGACGACTACAAATTGAAATCAGAGTAAAGTGCCGTGCATGAAGATTACCAGAACAATGCACCGTCCTGCTGTATGTCAAACAGATCCTTCGCTTCAGCAATGGGAACATTCGGAACATCCGTTGAAGACAGCAAGCGATTCACATGTTCCACAAATGAATATAGCTGTGCAAAGGTCAGCACACATGTAATCATGCCACACACATCATCAACGAACTTTAATTCATTTATTTTTTCCAGTCGACTCTTCAAACTTTTTGTGGCGAAATTTACACCACGTTAATCACATCCCAGTGTCCGCTACCACTACCACTACTATGCAACACTGATACACTGTCATGTAAATTGCAACTGCGAAAGGTCGAGTGAATTGGTATGGCGGTACTGGATCAGAGGCGCAATCATGACTCTATACACAGAATCTGATGTAAGCGAGATTTGCCTAACGTTTCCATAACATTTTTTGTGACATTCACCACTGAGTTGAAATACATCACAATCGAGAATCAAGGAAGAAGTTTTTGCAACAGTTGACCAACCTCGGCCTCGCTTACATGTGTGTATAGAGTTATGATTGCGCATGCTATCCTGTTCGTGGCTTTATTCACCTTATTGTCCCCAATGCATGCCAATTATGCAACTAACTTACTTCCTTTCCCCCCAAACTGATGAATATTAGGGTGACAGAAAAAAATTCTTCAGACTTTTCCCTTTTCAGACTTTTCCCTTTTTTTCCATTCCGGAATTCCCTCAACTAGTGTATTTTTTTAATACAATTTTTCAACCACAATAGAACAACACCTCAAAACACAATACAACAACACCTCAAAACAATGGTACCTCAGCGGCCGAGTATGAATGCTTTCCGCCGCTACCACTCCGGGAGAGCACGTTACAAGAAGCGACGCATTGGACTGTCGAGTCATCAGCCATGATCTCAACTACGGTACTAACGAGCTACTTCAAGCAGAGCTATGACTACAGACTACAGTACTACGACTAGTATGAATCTTCTTTGGCCCCCCTAGCACAGCGAACATCACCTGATCACCGACTGCGCAGCACCACACACTCAGTGTACTGGACTCGAACACTGCTAGCTGCAAATTGGAGTGTTGGAAACAATAACAATTGTTCTTGGACGCTCGAACTGCAACACCGGCGTCCACAAGCATCGCTGTGCACGTGCAGGCTAGTCTGATGTCCCACCAACCACCTGGGTCAAACTGCTGACTAGAAACTGCTCAAACAATAAGTAACTTTTATGGAAAAGACGAATGAAAGACGAGAGTGACAGCCTGGACGACACACGTACACAGGCATAGGACAAGGCCAGACTCAGAGTGCTGGCATCAATCGATCAAGACTGCAAGACTTGTTGCCAACACAAATCCGGGTTACATGGGCAGTCTTTACTGATCCTATCTCCATGGTCACTAAATTATGTACTCGTAGTCTAGACGCGTATACCACTGGCACTGGTTACGCGGTTCAACAAAGAAATCTACAAAAGAGAAAATTATTTTCTAGCGATTTCCATGATCCAAGGGCCGGCATACAACACATGCACGTGCACAGCTGGCTAAGGCCACTGTCCATACCACAACAAGTACATGGATTGTATACAAGTCTACACAGACTAGACTACATGACTCATTGACAGTGTAGAGTCTCCAATCTCCATGGCATAGTATTAGTAAAATAATCGACGCGGAGACAACAATTTTATAATAGCTATAAAGAGAACAAATTCTGCTGTCATCGCCACACTACAACAAAGTCATGAAGGTTTACCAAAATCGATTTTCTTGTCACAATCATCAGTGGAAAGCCGTGACTGAAGAATAACCATGCCAAATCAATAATTTATATACATTCATGTGTGGATTGCATGTGTGGATTTGGCATTTGCCCCCAGCTCTATTCTATATCATTCATGCCGGAACTACTGCTGCATAGCCCCAAGTCTGAAGACTTGGCAACTTCACGCCTGCACCTGACTCTTGCGCTATGATACGCGTCGCCTATGACACCCCTCGGAATTTCCCACCTTGCTCCCCCTTATGTTCTGGCTGCCCGTTTTGGATCCATCAGTTGCCTGATGATCGTAGAGATACGTGAAACTCGGAGTTGTGACAAAGCTTCCAAACTCTCTCTTGTATACATTCAATAATGTGTTACGAGAACAAAACAAAGTGCTAAAAATAGAATGAGGGAAGGTGAGACAATAGAAGTAAAGTGAGAGCTAAGTGCAACAGGGGTGAGGAACTAATACTTATTGCAGCGCTAGAACTGTGTAGTGAGACAAACAATCATGCTGTGCACCTACGAAAACAATCTTAACGCAACTACATGTTTCTTCTGCTTACAAAGATCAGGCTTATGCAAACGAATACAAACAGCCTCAAGTACTTTCAACTGACTAGCGTACCGTGCACGACAAAGAACAGAAAAACTAAAATCATCATACACCTGCAGACACTTAGGGTGAGACAACAGATGAAGAAAAACGGCAGACTTCTTACGATCACAATCACCATCCGATTCCTCGTCTCCACCACCCGCAACCTCGTCCCCCGTCTCATCTTCCAACTCGTCCCCAGTGTCGTCCTCCGTTTCATTCTCCTCATCACCACCGATCGGTCCCAGGCTCGCTTCACGTTGCTGAACCTCTGTTCGTTGACTCCTCCTTTGATCTTGATGGTAATTTGTTACCATTGTTGTTGTTGTCATTGTTGTTGTTCCTGTTGTTGCTAAATCTTCTGTTCCCAGTGTCTTCGCCGGTGCTTGACATCCAGTACTGTAATAATTCATTGAATAATTAGCCGTTGATCGTCTAGGTCTTTGAATGTTGATCGTGTTGTTTTCTCTGTTGAATTCCGTTTCCTTCAGCCTTCTTTCTTCTTGTTCATGTTCAGTGCTTACCTCATCCATATTTGCCCGTGCCAGCGACACCACAGACTCAGCCCCAGCACTGCCGATGGCAGATGCAGGTGGCAGTTCTGGGGGAGGCAACGGCAACGATGGCGATGGGGGCATCACCATGATCACCTCGTCGCAGCGTCCACTTTGGTCTTGAGCTGGATGTTGTTGTGGTGTACTTTCTTGTGTTGTTATGGTGCATTGTGTTATAGTGACAATGTGCACATTATCCATCTCCACGGCTCTCGATACTGGTAATGGAGGCACTATTGCCGTCGACGGCAATTGTGCTAACGATGGCTGTGATCGAGGGTTCTTAGGTGGCCTGCCGCGTTTGGGTCGCAGTGCCCGTGCCGAGCCAGTCAGCATGTGCAGTGGGACGTGCTGCTTGATACGTGCGTTCAGATGTTGAAGAGTCCTACCAACGTACCGACTACCGCATTGTCGGCACTCAAATTGGTACACCAATTTAGATGCGAGTTGGGTTGATAGGACATCCTTCCTCACCGTGAACGCACGTACAGTTGTGAAAACGGGTACAAAATGTACCGCGTAGTACGTTTGTTGTACAATTTTGCGGACCACGCGACTCGTGGATAATGAGAGGTTACCTTTCCAAGGGAGAGAAAGATACGTGGGACATTTGTCCGGGCCAAAACGTATTTCCTTTCTATGCAGCCTTTCGCTCATGAGCTCCTTCAAGAGATCGTCGGGATACCCGTTCTTTAGAAAAACTGACTTTAGGAAGTCCAGTTCCTCAGCCAGTTTGGAAGAGGAGCAAATACGGTTTGCTCGATCCACCAAGTTACGCACTAAATTCACCTTGTATTGGTACGAACAATACGAGTCAACCATTATGACTGTACTGGCCGGTGAATGTAGGCTTTCTGTACACAGATGTTACTGTACCCTGACTAGACTTTTCCACAAGGACGTCTAGAAAGGGAAGTTTGTTCGCTTGTTCGTGCTCACAAGTAAAGCGTATGGAAGGATGTAGGTCATTTAGAATACCAAGAAAGATTTGGCTATCTTCAAGAAAATCGAACCAGGTGAAGGAATCATCAACAAAACGAACGTACAATGCTGGCCACAACTGTTCTGCAATCAGTGACTCGCAGTAACCAACGAACACATTCGCTAATACTGGACCTAATGGAGAGCCCATGGCTACCCCATCAACCTGCCTATACATAATGTCACTGAAGGAAAACTCCACACCAGTCGTCACGAGCAACATCAGTTCCCGGAATGCCGTCTCCGATATCCACGGCGTATTCATCATTTCGGTACAACACATCTAGGCAAATATGGATAGTCTCTTCTAACGGAACGTTCGTGAATAGACTCACAACATCAAACGAGCACATATGCGCGGAGGCCGGAACTGGGTGGGAGCGAAGGACGTCAATGAATTCGAAGGTGTCTTTAGGGGCCGTCCGTAAATATCGAACTTTTTTCACCAAACGAATTCTTTTAGTTTAGACCCAACCCCTTCCTCCCTCCCCCTCAGAACGTAAAAAATGTTGACATACATGCATATACAACGGCCATGTACATGGATCAATGTTTTTCTGAAACGAAACTGGTCAACCCCCTCCCACCCCATAACGAAATTACATGTATTTCGTTTCGTGAAAAAAGTTCGATATTTATGGACGACCCCTTAACTATATGTTTGCAATAGAACTTTTGCACGATGTCAAGCCAACAACACAGCCATTTAGAGATATTGCGGTGATGCGACCATGGTCCGGATAATATGGGGCGCAATGGACAGTTCGCTTTATGTATTTTTGGGAGCCCATAGAGACGTGGTCGGACGGAACCAATGGGCCGTGCTCTGTTTTATTTTCTCTTTTCGTTCGTCCCTCTTGATATTTGTACTTTGTACTGTTGAGGCAACGAACTGAAAATAAAAACCAAACCAAACCAAACCGGTAGGTGTCAAGCTCTGAGTACATGCATAAACCCTGATTACAGCAGTACTAGTATACTGCAGTACTGCAGTGACTATGTCATGTAATAATTATGTTACTCGTACTCATGACTCATGTACTGGCACAATGCACATGCATGCCGGCTTAGGTAAGATCGAAGAGAGTGTTCGTGTCACCTCTCCTTGCATTGCCATTGGCTTGTTCACTCCCTAGCAGCTACCCTGTCACTGCTGTCAGCCTAGACACATTGTGAGATTCGACTTGCGTCTACATTACTTCATCGATCCTTGGCAAACACTACACTGGGAAAAAGCATGCATGCATGCGGCATAGTCCATAGAAGTTGTGTATTCTACTGTATAAATGAGGGACTTGAACACCGTATTGGCAGATCCTGCTCTCACACACACGCATGCACGCACACCTACACACACATGCACACCTACACACATGCATGCATGCATACACACACACACGCACCTAGTACCTACACACACACACACATCACAACACACATACATGTATGCACGCACACACATGTATGCACACACACACACACACCTTTGACCTTTGACGCCCATCGCCGGAGGCGATGATAGCAATGCTACGGCAGAAGCCATAGCAACTTGTGCTGGGATTGCACCATTCAACAGCTTGCAAGGCTGAAGAATTGACCGTCACTATTCAGCCTGGTCTACACCATACAGCTATTTTGAAGCGACTTTTTTCTGGCCAGTGAATCCCTATTTTTGGTCTTTTCTCTTTTTTTTCTTTTTTTTCCACACACACACACACACACACACACACAGACGCACACATGAACGCATTCCATCGAAACACAACAATGCAAGTATTATGATGTAAAATTGATCTAGCAATAGTCGTATTTCATCCCAAAGGCATAGACTGGTATTATTGTAAGACAGTGGCTAAATTGCATAACTTGATTCCAGGTAAACAATGTGAAACTTGGGTGATGAGCGGCGGCCAACCCAGCCCCATCAGTGCTGGTAGTCAAGAGACTAAGCGTTAGAGGTTACAACGGTTCAATAACACTGCATACGACCGAGATGTCAAGAAGATGCCCAGAACAGATAATTGAACATCAACCAGTTCAAAAGCAACACCAGTGAGGCAGCGACTGATAGTGGAAGCAAGATGTCAAGAAACAATAATTATTGCTTCACTGTTAAGTTACCAAACTAATAGTTCTGAAAGACCACCAAGAATGTGATGGCGTTAACATAAATAAATAGGATAAAGCAGAGTCTGAACTTATTGTAAGTCATGAAAGAATCCAGCACAATTAAAACAAGAGCTCATATTACAGCCAAAATTCCAAAACAGCTCAATCTGTACCTTTTTAATTTAGGAAAGAAGCTGTTAGATTACATGGCAATGGAACTGTTTTTTATTATATGAAATATAATTAAATAGCCATTATTCAGGCAAACATTATCAAGTAACGCACCGGTTCTGCCAAGGTATATTGCACCGTACGAGAACAACACCTTCAGTATCTGTAAGTCGCACCCAGGAGAATATCATCTTCAGCATCCACGTGGGCCGCAACCACCATTCTTACTCTCTTCGACCAAGTCTCGGAGCTCTTTCAAACCAGGTGTAGATCGAAGAACGCTGGCCAAGTTGGGAACTCTGCAAATCGGCTGGGAATTTTCCGAATCGGACGCTGGGTCACATACTATGGTCATTCTACTGAATGACAATCCTGGCAAGCCGGGAAGTGAGTTTCCGGGCCTTGTTGGCTTTGGAAGGAATGGCTCAGCACACGTAGGCTGCAAGTGCACAATACTCTTAGCCGGAGACACGTCTATGAACTGTGCAAAGCGAGAACGAGCTAGCGTAAGAGCAACATCCTTTGCGAGCACTACTGGATACCCTTGACGGCACACTGCCATTTTAGACACCTTGATCTCCTTGCCTGTTTTCCTCGACTTGTTGTCTGGGTGCACGATGTTGAGCGTGAGTCTGGCAGCGTCCAATGGGCTCTCCATCAGCATAGCCGTTCTACCATCTTCAGGTGCAAGCCGAAATAGCCGGTATGTTGCGGAGCAGAGCTGAAATCCACTAGCGTCTTCCAGCTCGTGCAACTTATCGACAGCCGTTCCAAATACTCCCATGCCAGCAGCCAACTCCCGTCGACGTTCGTTTGTCATCTCAAGCCTTCTCGATGTCATAAGAATTGGCTTGCTAAACGCAGCATCTTCAACTGAACTCAAGAAGCTTGACCACATCCAAGCTCCAGCTAGACCTTCAACCCAGGCTTTAGAGCTACTCCGAACACACTCGCTCACATCGACCGAAACGAATAGGTCACAGATGTAGAACTCTCCTCCGGGCTTCAGCAGTGCATATGCCTGCTGAAGTATGTCAGTCCTGGCACACTCACGCATCTGACACAGGGAGCAGTTAGCCACAATGAGGTCGTAGGGACCACTGGCCACAACAGGCTCCGTACTGCTCAGGTCTTCAGCATCACAGCAGACAAACTCCACGTTGTCTACACCAGTATTCTTCGCATGCTCTTCCGCATACGCCACCAGGCTGGAGCACAGGTCCACGCCGACAACATGCCCTTTGTCGCCAACAAGCTGAGCAAGAACCATACAATCCACTCCTGATCCACAGCCTATGTCCAAAACCTTTGCACCCGCAACCATGTCGGGAAACGGCTGTCCACAGCCGCAGCTCCGGGCACGTAACTCCTCGTTGCAAGTGCTCAATTTACAGCTGCGTACATGATGGCTAAGATCGGAGTCTGTTGGTGAAATCCACGTTTGCCATTCCCAGTCTTCGTTGGTTGAGCGACTGTCGTGAAAACTGCGAACCGCCATTTGAACATGCGATTTGTTGCTAGCATCAAAAGAAGAATTGTCTGCCATCTTCCTAGGAACTTGCAAAAACGCCGTGCCTTGGTTCTAAAGACTAATGAGACCTCATACCAATAACAATACACAACAATGCAGGCATTTGAGCAGGTGTGACCTCTTTACCAAGGCCCAAAGCTCAGGTCTGTAGGAATGGACTGACAACAGCACCGATATTAGCGCACCATGCTCTCCAGCCCGCTCTTGTAACTAAGTTGTAGTAAAACAAAATAAAAAACTCTCTCGACTCGTAGATCTACTGTCTGGTTCATGACATGAGTTCTGCTGTTGCCTGTCCTGGCCTGCTGTACCGGTATGAGACTGCGTGCCTGATGTATCACGCATGCAGCATGCAGGCCCACATCCATTATAATCCGTGCTAGTGCTGACACACGGCTACTCACCAGTGGATTCACTGCACTTCTGTCGTACTGAGACAGTAGATCACTCAGTCTGTCGTAGATTCTACGCGTAGATCTACTGACCAGTGACCTATGAGTCTATATCTGATCAGTGTGCGGTGGCTGTCCTGTTCCACTGACATCCTGCTGTACTCAGTCTGTATGGATTGTAGTGTAGTGTAGAGACCACAGAATTTCAGAAAACTGTAGACAAGCGTTGTCATCATGCATTCATGCCATCAAAGCTGGTATGGACTGGACGGGCCGCGGGTGCTTCATCGACATCAGACGATCAGTCGTACAGCTGTACTCTGAAAAAATGAGTGATGATGTGTCACTAACACCATGATCACAGTATGTATAATGTAGACATGACTGCATGCCATGCCTGACACTGTACTACCGTCGTACCGAGGCTTGGCAAGGAAGTGCAGCCCGGTGCGTGTGTTGCAGGCATGCATGAGTTGGCTAAATTTGGCCCAAATCATGACTGGGCATGATGCAGAAGTAGTTCCCCTGAGTGCTGTCTGTCTGTACCCTAGTGGTAGTACCTGTTGTAGGCTACCGTATCCCGAGCTCGGCATGCAGTCGGGTTTCAGCTTTTTGGTATCAGCGCAGCAGCGCGAAGCTAGCAGGCTAGGAAAACGTGCAGACGTGTCACACCGCAAGCCAAATCATGCCAAATGAGTTGGTTGATAGCATCGGGCGCTGAGTCACGCAGCCAAGCATATGCACGATCATGAACTACACCACATGCACAGGCACAGCCACAGGCACACTGCACAGGCACACTGCACTGACTGATAATCTACCCGCGGCCCTGTATGTGACAGTGTGAGTCTTGGCCTTTTTTCAAGCTCAGCTCAGCTCAGCTCATCTCCACTTCAATCTTCATGCCACACATGTACACCATGTACTACTGTAGCGGACATGGAAATCCGGTCGATTGACCTGGGCCGGCGCCGGCGCCCTCATGCGCCTACAGAACGTAAGTCGTTGCATGCCGTGCACAATCATGTTGATCCGATGCGAAGATCATGCGACCAGCAGCAGGGCAGTGATACGTGCTACGGCTGCATGGCCAGTAGGTAGGCCTGTCCGAAAAATGTGTTTTAATTTGTGGAAAATGGAAATGCAAAATGCACGGTTTTCCAGGCAACATTCAAACAAGAAATCAAAGGGGAATGTAAAAAAAATCAAAAAATCAAAGCCAAACAACCCAAAACGCAGAGAAAATGCATCCGTTGCCATGGCAACCAGAATCTAAAATGGCCGCCATGCCATGGTGATCACAAATTTTTTTCCATGTCATGTCACACTGTACATGTACGTATACATGTAGTATCCCTGCCTTGCTAGTACATGTACCTCTAATCATGTCACGTGTACATGCACTGCATGGTCATAATCTTGTCACCCCTTTTGCTGACATTGCCTGACAAGCCTGCAAAGCTAATCATGTTCTCACCATTGCAAGTGACTTGTGTTGCCTTACGCTTGCTGGATTGCATACTACCTATACCATGTATACTACACATGTACTACTACTAGAACATATCTTTGTTGTTTTTATCACACCTGCATGTACATGTAGAACTAAACACCCACGTGTTCCCATTTGTGTGATTAGGAGGCCAGTGCAACTAAGTAAGTGACTTAGTCTAGTGTCTCAGCCAAGACTAGAGGGACAGAAGACACCGAAATAGCAAGCCGAACTTGACTTGGTCGAGCTGAAACCTTGGCTGAAACCTTGGAATTCGACCAAAAATGGGCAAAATTCAGAAAAAATGCAAAAATGCAAAATGTACCCCAAAATGCAAAAAAAATTCAGAACATTTTTCGGACAGGCCTACCAGTAGGCCTGGCCGGATTATGTTAGCATAATTTTTCGCATAATTTCTACCAAAATCGAATAATCGCATAATTCGAGGCAAATTGCATATGAATCGCATAAATTGGAAAAATCCGCCTGTTCGCATCAAATAATTCCATACAGTTGTACATGTTCTACAACTTAGTACAAGTACAAGTACAAGTAGATGCACCAGGAAGTCGTAGGTTTACGACTCCCTTGATAACAATGTCATGTCCAGTCCACTACAATCAGTGACGGTCGTAGCTACATGTACGTGTAGGTCGGACGGTGCGGTGACCACGTTGAACTATGTGCTACTACAGACAGTACAACGCCCCCTACAAAACAATTCCCCTGGTACTAGTATTTTGCACAGAACCATCATATACATCAGCAGCATATGTGAGCATAATGCGGCATAATATGATAACTTTTAGCATAAAAATAGCATAATTCTGCAATTTTTTCAGCAATGCGAAAAGCATAATTTCACGAAAATATTAGCATAATCCGTCAAGGCCTAATGGGCCGGTAATGGCCAGAGCCCTGGGGCCGCTAGACGTGCAACCGGATTTCCATGTCCACGACAGTTAGGCCCCGGTGTAATATGCCCAAAACTTTGCCGAAAATGCTTTTGGGAAATTCTCGTAAACCTTGCCGAAAATGCTCCCAAAGACCCAAACCGTGCCGAAAATGCTCGGAAAATGCTCACTTTTTTGTCATCCTCAGCACATGCCGTCAAAACCAGGGAGTCAGAAAATACTCAATAAGAGACTTGCTCGAGTCTGCCATGGTAAACAATTCATAAACTACTCAACAAGAAGCTAACCCACGGAATGCGGAAGTGACGTTCTTGTTTGGGAAGTTTTTCTTCTCTCAATTTTGATACACAACGGCCAAGTGCTCCGTTTCCCCCAAAATGCTGCATCACGAGCCCAAAGTGCTGGGTTCGCGGATTGTACCGAAAATGCTCAAAAAATGCCGGCATATTACACGGGGGCCTAACGACAGTAGACTACTGTACACGGTCTGACTCAGCACAACCCTAACGCCCCCAAACTAGGGCCAAAGAGTCGTCAAAATACCGGTATTCGACGATTCCCCGACTACATTGTTATGCATGTATTTTAATAATAAAACTTAAAAAGAGATTTAACTCGAAGAGTACGTAAACGTGATCGCGAGTACAGCTACAGCTGTACAGGCAGGGTCGACTCGGGTGCCTGGGTTCGAGTCTCGTTTGTGTGTTCAAAAAGAAAGTGTCATGACCCTCAAATAATTGTTCACATGCGGCGACTACTTGTGGGTTTGATGGTGTCATTGTCGTCCCGGATCCCCTTGCTTACTGTCATTGTCGTCCCGGATCCCCTTCAGCCCTTGCTTACTGTCATTGTCGTCCCGGATCCCCTTCAGCCCTTGCTTACTGTCATTGTCGTCCCGGATCCCCTTCAGCCCTTGCTTACTGTCATTGTCGTCCCGGATCCCCTTCAGCCCTTGCTTACTGTCATTGTCGTCCCGGATCCCCTTCAGCCCTTGCTTACTGTCATTGTCGTCCCGGATCCCCTTCAGCCCTTGCTTACTGTCATTGTCGTCCCGGATCCCCTTCAGCCCTTGCTTACTGTCATTGTCGTCCCGGATCCCCTTCAGCCCTTGCTTACTGTCATTGTCGTCCCGGATCCCCTTCAGCCCTTGCTTACTGTCATTGTCGTCCCAGATCCCCTTCAGCCCTTGCTTACTGTCATTGTCGTCCCGGATCCCCTTCAGCCCTTGCTTACTGTCATTGTCGTCCCGGATCCCCTTCAGCCCTTGCTTACTGTCATTGTCGTCCCGGATCCCCTTCAGCCCTTGCTTACTGTCATTGTCGTCCCGGATCCCCTTCAGCCCTTGCTTACTGTCATTTCATTTCATTTCATTTCATTTCATTTCATTTCATTTCATTTCATTTCATTTCATTTCATTTCATTTCATTTCATTTCATTTCATTTCATTTCATTTCATTTCATTTAGACTTTATATGAAGGATTCTCCGAAAGTAAATGGATACATATCGGGGGAGTTTCTACTTGTAATTGTATTTTGTCCCCTGGTGTGATGTTCGCGCGCTCGCCACTGTTTTGCTTCTCACTTCCTTGCTCATCAGTTTCAGTTTAGTGCTATTAGTATTATACAATGTACATGTAGTTGCTTTTGTTTTCTATTTCGTTTTTCGCGCGCACCTCTTTCTGTTCCCTATGAAGTATAAAGTATAATAGTGTTTGATTTAGTATTCCATCCATAGTTACGTACATGTACTGTGGACATGAAACGCGGGTCGCACGTCTAGCGGCCCGAGGGCGCTGGCCATACAGCCGTGGATAAGCGGTTCGCACATGCATTTAAAATTTTTATGCGCTGCATGCAGCGCGCTGGTAGAGAGAGATAGAGAGAGGTTCTACGACGATGTCCGATCTCCTATTAAACTCCGTCACCTTCAACGCTTGCCATTGTTTTCCTCCGTTGGGCTTGTTTGTTTTGCTGCTCCGGTTGACACCTCCAACGTTCGTTGAATCCATGGTCGTTTTTGTTTGACTTCTTGGTCTTCCTTGTTTCCTCTTGTTGATCGTCGTTGTCACTTCTAGTATCTACGTATTCGAATCTCCTGCACTTCGTCTCTTCACCTTGCTTCTGGTAACTCTTCCAGTGTCTGTAAGCTCCAGTGTCACATTGGGTGAGTACCACTGGGCACCTGTCCAGTCAAAATGGTTTCGGATCTTACGTGATTGGTGTTGTAAGTTCTGTTTAAAGGGGAAGTTAAGGCAAAAATTAAAATTTCACCAGTTGTAGTCTTCGGGGTGCTGAGTCGAATGGTCTTGGTCCGAGAAAGCTGAGACGCTCCCTTCCTACTTGAATCCCAATCGAACTCGCGCACTTCCACCGAAACTGGGTGACTGCGCCCTACTAGATGGGGATTTGTATGCAAAATGTCACTAAAAGCGCCGTTTCGTTCTTATAAAAGCACGGAT